CACTTGCTGACTATTCCTGCCCGGCTTCGAGCCTACAAAGCCTTTGTCCGGCCGGTTATGGAGTACTGCCCAATCGTCTGGATGGGGGCAGCTTCTTCCCACTTGAATCGGCTGGACTGGGTGCAGGAGCGTGCCATCAAAGCAATACATCCGCAATGCTGGCTTCCTAGCCTCATAATTCGCCGCACCATCGCTGCCCTCTGCCTCCTGTATAAAGCCCTTTGCGATAATTCTCCCGCTCTTCTCTCGAGAATGGCTCCACCCCCGACACACCAACCCAGGACCACACGCCTCACCCGCCAGGCTGTACGACTGTCCACCGCGCATCCCCATCAGTTACAGAATGTTCTTCCTGCCAATTCCAGGAACAATGTGAGCCGAGCCTTTCCCCACTCCGTCATCCCAATCTGGAACCAGCTGCCTACCTCTATCATTCCCCACCCATTTCACCCAAAGAACATCCAAAAGTTCAAGACAGCAGCTTATCACCATCTCCTCAGAACGAACTGGCACTGGGCCACTCATAGCATACGCGAGTAAGAGGGTACAGTGTCCTACCCTGCTTGGACATACATGTAATCTCTCCTCACGGACAGTCTCCTCTTGAATTTAAAAGTCTAACAGCGTTCACATCAATACTCAACTTATTCTTTTGCTCACTGAGCAATACAATCTTTCCATTTTCTTTCTTCTGTTTTCTTTTTCAATTTAATCCTCCCTACCCAATATCCCTTTGGTGCGTCCATGGAGCTATGAAGCCGAGACCTCTGGTCGGCGGAGCTTAATGGGCCCCACCACCACACTCCATCATTCACCCCAGTGTCTGGAGATATGTGGATTTTGTAGAAAAAAAAAAAAAAAAAAAAAAGAGAACCAGTTGAAGATGACGTCATGCCGCTGTTAGCTAGATTGTCGATTGATCCGTTTGAACATTACCATATTCGTAGCATTGCTAAATTTATCCATGTTAATCATGTCGTTTTCCCTCTCCCAGATCTGACGGACCTTTTCCCTCAAGTTTCAACCGGCCCTAGGACAACAAGAAGCTCTTTTAATGCTGGTTCGGATGTGATATGCAGCGCTATGGGAATGGGTGTGTCCACCCGAATTCTTTTCACAGATGAAGCTGCAGGAAGCCTCAGCCCTTCTTCAATCTTTTAATGCTGCTATTGCAATATCTAAATTCCGGACGACTGACGGTGTCAATTCCTTTTCAAATTGTGCTGCACTGTTCTTTAATGCTTTGCCTGTGGAGTGGCGCACCCAGCACCGCACTACATTTGCTAAGCACCTTCAGACCATGCTAAAAGACGCAGCGTCTTTTCAGTATTTTGATCTTCTTTTCAGCAAACGGCCTCATTGATCTGCATCGCTTGTATTGTATACCTGTGTTTACTGCTTACTGCTTACTCAGTGGCAGTCAGTGCTACTTTATTGTTCCAAGTATCAGTTAAAAAATTAAAATAATTTAAATTGTTCAGTTTAATTTAAACATCTCTTATTATTATTTTTCTCACCCCACACCTAGGCACCGGCGGATTATGCCTGCGAAATCATGGAATTATGCTTTCATGGATTCTCGCATTATGCTCGTAAAATCCTCATATTATCCTCTGGCACGCGGGGATACATATTCACTTTGTTGTGCTTATGGAGCCTCAAAGTTCGGAAAATTGTGCCTTTTTCGTACTTGCAAGTGGCCATAAGTACAACAAAATACAAGAGTATCCCCATACCAAGGTGTCCATGCGTACTAGAGATCAACCTGGAAAAGAGATTACATTACTTCTTCTATTCATTAGTTGACTTCTTTTGCTTTGAAAGAGTTTTTCCTTACCTTTGAACACGTAATGTCAGATTTACCAGGCAGAATCGTCACGCCTCTGCATCCACCCCTTGGCAAATCCGACCATGCAGTGATAGTTGCACATTTTGATGTGGCACCAACCCCAGACCGTCCGACCAAGCGCACAGTATGGCGGTACCAGCAAGCCGACTGGCCCCGCCTACGCGCCTTCCTGCGCGACTCAGACTGGTCCTTCCTTGCTACTGATGACGTTGACACCTCATGTGACAAACTCACCAGGAAAGTCACAGAGGCAATGAAACGATTCATACCATCCAAAGTATTGAAGCAGCGAGCCAGCAACCCAATCTGGTGGTCTCCTGAATGCCAAGCATGTGTTGACAGAAAACAACAGGCGTGGAGGCGCCATCGGGCGTCCCCAGATGATGCTGCACTTCTTTCAATCTTCAAGGAGGCAGCAACTGCCGCAGTCGCCACTCTGCATCGAGTAAAGATGGCCCACATTGCGACAGTAAGGCGCAAGATCAGCGCTGGAGGTCTCTCCAGCCGAGAGTGGTGGACTACGATCAAACGTGCTGGTGGCCATAGCAGCCGTTCCTCGGAGATCCCGACCTTGACCCAGGCCAACAGTGTCGAAGTCAGGCAGAGCGCAGCGAAAGCTGAGGCTTTTGGAAAGTTCTTCTCGTCAAAGTGCAGTTTGGGTACGGATGACTTGCAGGCAGACGCGCTCCCACCAGTTCGTCGCCGCTCAGATGCGCAGCTCCACACAGTGCACTTCCGACCTTGTGCGGTCGAGCGCGAGCTCAGGAAGGTCTCCGCTGCAAAAGCCACAGGACCAGATGGCCTGCCTGGCCGAGTCTTGCAGGAGTGCAGCAAGGAACTTTCAGTCCCTGTGTCGAAACTGTTCGCCAAGTCCTTTCGGGCAGGACGCCAGCCTACCCTATGGAAGACTGCCATGGTTGTACCCGTCCACAAGAAGAAATCGAAATCTGATGTGAGCAACTACAGACCTATCTCACTCCTCCCCATCTTGTCCAAGGTGATGGAGGCTATCGTCAACCGTGCCCTCAGGAAATTCCTTGAGTCAAACAATATCCTCTCCCAGAGCCAGTATGGGTTCCGCAGCAGACTTGGCACCCAGGATATCCTCACCCTATTGAATTCGCAGTGGGGCAGGGTGGCCGCAAGCGGTGGTGCAGTAAGGGTGATCGCAGTGGATGTGGCTGGTGCGTTTGACCGTGTCTCGCACACCGGAGTGCTCCACAAGGCAGAGTGCTATGGCGTAGCTGGTCACCTGCTTGGCTGGCTCCGCGACTACTTGAGCAACCGGAACCTAACCGCAGCTGTTGGTGGGGAGCTATCTCAGCCCTACCCGGTGAGAGCTGGCGTCCTCCAGGGCAGCATCCTGGGACCGACACTGTTCATCCTGTACACAAATGACGCCGAGGACCATCTCCCTCCTGGAATGGACCTCGCAGCATATGCCGATGACACTACGCTCTTCAACTTCATCACCTCAAGAGTGTCCATATCTGGCAGCTCTGCTATCATGCAACAGGGTGTGGATGCACTGTCTCGCTGGGGCGTGGAGTGGAAGATCAAGTTTGAGCCCTCCAAGACCCAAGCCATGACAATCGCACATCATCGCCAGCCTTGGCAGCTCCCGGGAACCACTTTCGACGCTACGCCAGTCAGCGAGGCAGGCCACCTGAAGCTCCTGGGCGTCACCTTTGACTCCCAGCTGACATATGCGCAGCACATCCGCACGATCCGCTCCAGAGCACAGCAACGCCTAGGCTTCCTGCGGAAGGCCTCTGCTATCCTAGAGCCCCCTGGCCGACTCCGAGCCTACAATGGGTTTGTCCGACCTGTGCTGGAGTTGGTTGGTTGGTTGGTATATTTTATTTTACTTCGCCAGAATGAACAGGCATTGCTACCTTCTTGCCTGGACAAGTGGATTGTCCAAGCTCTCACAAAAAGACGAAGAAAGGAAAGAAATATTACATGAGAGTGTGAAGCATGCAATCTTATAAAATAAAAAATAAAATAAAAATTTCCATGAGAGTGTGACGCATGCATGATGAGAGAGGAGAGATAGATATAGATAGAGAGAGAAAGAGAGAGAGAGAGAGAGCGAGAGAGAGAGAGAGAGAGAGAGAGAGAGAGAGAGAGACTGCTTTATTGCCTGGACAAGTGAACTGTCCAAGCTCTTACAAAATGACCAACAACAACAACAGCAACGGCAACAACAACAGCGACAGTGACAACAACAGACCAACAACAACAGCAACGGCAACACCACAGCAGCAGCAACAACAACAAGAGAGAGAGAGAGAGAGAGAGAGAGAGAGAGAGAGAGAGAGAGAGAGAGAGAGAGAGAGAGAGAGAGAGAGAGAGAGAGAGAGAGAGAGAGAGAGAGAGAGGAGTGGAGAGGAGAGAGACGATTTACTACCTGGACAGGGAATTGTACAAGCTGTCACAAAATGACCAACAACAACAACAATAACAACAACAGAGAGAGATAGATAGATAGAGGGAGAGAGAGAGAGAGAGAGAGAGAGAGAGAGAGAGAGAGAGAGAGTGTGTGTGTGTGTCAGAGTACTGTCCCCTGGTCTGGCTTGGTGCGCCACCCTCACACTTGGCCAAGCTAGACCAGATCCAGCGACGAGCCATCCACATCATCGGATCGGGCTCCTGGCTCCCTAGTCTATCTCTGCGGCGAACAGTGGCCTCGCTTGCATACTTGTACAAGCTATTCTGCCTAGATGCGGACAGCCCGCTGAAGAAGATCCTCCCCCCTGGTGCCCAACGTCGACCTCGGGACATACAGCCCACCCGCGTGTCTGCTCAGCCTACGCACCCACACCAGCTATCGACTAACC